TGAGCTGACGTGACAGTGGACAGGCACATTGGGAGGGGGTGCGGGCGAAGGCAGTGGCATTCAGTACCACCTCCCATCCCTGCTCACAGTCCCTCCATACTTCCCAGTTGTCTATTGGGTCATTTACCGACGTTTTTGATCTAGGCATCAAGGTACCCTCCACTGGCCCCCAATTTCCTCTCTTAAGTCCCAGGAGCCTGTCTCTCTTACCTCCCACAGCTAGACTGGTTAGGTGGCATCTCCCAAAGATATTGTCCCTGTCATGGCAGCGCTTCTTATCTCAGAGTCAGAGCTCTTCTAGCCTCGAAGTCTACCTCAGTGTGTGGAACTCCCACGAAACCTCTCCTGAGCACCTGAACCCCACTGTGGTAGGTTGACAGTGGATAGGATTTCTCTGCAGTCCCTCCAATCAAGAGGTAGAGTCTATTTCTCCACCCTTCAGATCTGGACTGGTCTTGGACACGCTTTGACCAACAGAAGAGGTGGAAGGGACCACACACAACCTGAAGGCTAGGCTCAGGTGACCTGGAAGCATCTTATACTCTTGGAACCAACTGGAACCAACTGAGCTAGTTTTCTGAAGAAATGTGGCCTGGCTGGCAAGGATCACCAATCACTGGACTGAGGCAGCCACCCTAGCTGAAGCAGCAAATGTCACTTACAAGTAAGAGACTGTCTAAAAAGATGTGACAGTATTTGAGGAAGACACCTGAGGCTGACCTATGGCCTTCACACATATTTGCATACACACACACACACACACACACACACACACACACACACAGCACAGCACACACATGAGCAAATACACACATACAGATATCTCTCAGTAGAGATTGTCCTATTGGACAGTTCTAGAGAGGTTCTTGGTTGTCTAAAGCTCCAGCCTCCTGTATTTGGGGCACGGACTAGGATTGGGTTTGACTATGGAGATTCCCCCAAATGGCCATGGGGATTCCTGCTGAAGTCCCGTGGAGGGGAAGCAGTAAGGCCTAGAAATTCAATCACAAACTTGGTAATTTGTGCCAAGGTGAGGTTCTGCCTCTAAAGAGACGGACTCAAGGGCTGGAGCTCTAGACCAATGGTAGAGAGGTTGCCGACTATGTACAAGGCCCGTGGGTCCCCAGCACTGCAAGAGAGGAGACGGGAGAGGGAGAGGGAGGGCGCAAACCCTTTGCAAGTTCAAGGTCAAAAGCTCCAGCATGGCAGCCCCTCAGCCCGGGGCCCACTCACCTGGCTCAGGCTCTGCCTTCCTGTCTTCTGCAGAGCCACAATGGCCCTTCCCAGGGGATAGCCCAAAGCAACCACTGGCCCGATGAGGTCTTGCTCCTCCTTGGTCAGAGCAGACAGCAGGTCAGTTGCTGAGTCAGGATGCAATCTATAGGAGTCGAGGGGCTGGGGGGTCCCACTAAGAGGTGGCAAGCAGGTGTATGGGCTGAGGGACTGAAACACAGACAGGGAGGGTAACAGGTCAGTAACCAAAGGAGGTCACAGTCAGCTGGGCTAGACATCTTCAGGGCTGACTTTGCGTCCCACTTTATGCACATTGTGGAGAGCTGTCGGTCCTGCAGGCCCCAACTCATTTTCTATTCACTTTGCCAAGATGTCAACAGAGGCCATCTTGGAACTCCCTCATCAGGCTGTCAGGAGATATAAATCAGAGCATGAGCAAAGGGATTAATTAGCCAAGGGCCTGGCATGCAGAAGCTGTCAGCAAAGGCTCATGTTTCACTTAGCGCCTACAACACTGTAAATGAAATACGACAGGTAGCCTAGGTGTGGTGGTACATGCCTGTAATCATCGCTACTTGGGAGCTGAGGCAGGAGGATTGCTTGATTGCCCAGGAATTCAAGGTGAGCCTGGGCATCATAGTACAAGGTCAGGTCAGGGAGAGATAACAAGAGACAGACAAGGTATATAGCTCAGTTGGTAGTATGTTTGTCTGGAATGCACAAGGTCCTGGGTTCAGTCCTTAGCATCTCATGCACAGAGCATGGTGGTGTACGCCTGTAATGTCAGATGCAAGAAGATAAAAAGTTCAAGGTTGTCCTCAGCTACCATTACAGAGCAGGTCAACCTGGGCTACATGAGATTCTGTTTGAGAGAGAGAGAGAGAGAGAGAGAGAGAGAGAGAGAGAGAGAGAGAGAGAGAGAATCATCCAGGTTCAGAGAAGTCAGTGACCCAATGCACAGTACACATTTGAGATATGAACCCTACCTTGAGGTTGCTGTACCCCACAACTCAGTGAGAGGGAACATCTTCCCAGCCACTCTCTCCTGGAGTTTGGCTGAGCCAAGCCCAGCAGGACGGTACTCAAGCATGTTGACTCAGGGGAATGCTGCACTACAGAAGACATTTGCTGAGGACATTCCTGTGTTTGCCTGGCATCATGAGGAAGGACTTCTGTGGTGGTAATCTAATTGTATTGAAATATTATTTTGATTTGT